CACTGATGCCTGCTTGAGGAACATGTCATGCTGGGGCTGTCCACCAGGTGAGTCCTTAGCACTCCTCACTACAGCCTGCCCCTCTAACACCACCTTCCTTCTACACCTCAGTACCCTGAAGCTATGGCACTGCCTTTCTTCCTCAGCCAAGCTGTGGCTGGTGCTGGCTGGATACAAGGGACTGTCCTCTCCTGCAATGTGGCATTGACCTAGTGGGCTTGCAGCCTGGCGGCATCCTGCATCCAAATGTGTCTTTCACCTGCCCTCATTTTCCCTTAAATTCCTCAGCCGGGTCCTATTCAGCTGGTAGGGACTGCTTTCCGGAGTCTTCTGGTCTCAATCGGGCCCTACTGGCTTTCAGGCAGACCTCTCGGGCCCTGGTCTGGGCCTGACCAGTGCCGCAGAGTTCCATGCTGCTCCCACCGATGCCTGCTTGAAGAACAGGTCTTGCTGGAGCTCATCATGGTGTCTACCGGGTAAGTCCCTTGCTAACTCCCTACAGCCTTCACCTTCGCCAAAGGATCTCCACCTCTATCACCACCTTCCTTTTACACTGCAGCACCCTAAGGCTATGATGCTGGTCTTCTCCCTCAGCCAAGATGTGGCTGGCGCTGACTGGATGCAAAGTACTGTCCTCTCCTGCAATGTGGTCTAGGTCCGGATGTGTCCTTGACCTGCCCCAACTTTTCCTTATATTCCAGAGCCGAGTTCTATTCGGCTGGTAGGCACTGCCCTCCAGCCCCTACAGTTTCATCTGTGCCCTACCAGCTCTCAGGCAGACCTACGAGGCCCCTGTCTAGGCCTGACCAAGCCTTCACTCCTCCCGTACTGCCCTCTCCTGCAATGTGGCATTGACAAAGGTGCTCTTGCAGCGTGGCGGCATCCAGCGCCAGAATGTGTCCTTAGATCCGGATGTACGGACCGGAGTCAAGACATTCTGGATGCAGACCGGAATCCAGACGTCTGGTTCGAAAGGTCCGGTAACTCGAAAAATGAGGGGGGGGGGGGGGAAAAAGGGGGAGGGCCCAGGGTCGTGCCCAAGATACCGTTCGGAGCCCCCAAAATTGTTTTTGGGGGCTGTTTCATGTTTATAATGTGGAGCGGACATGGGTGAAATAAAATTTGACGTAGGGTTCCTTCTTTCTTTCTTTTGCTTGTTTTCGTTATTTGTGGAGGGCCGTTGTTTTAGTGGGCTCGGTTGTTGGGTGGGGGAGGCAGGGGAAGCCATTTCGAACTTACCTCGGAGCCAGGCCGACGGAGCTCTTCCAGATGCCAATAAAGGTCACCGTCACCCGACATGAAGGTCACCACGGGAGCTCTCAAGGAGGAAGGCCGGCCGTGCTGTGCGCTTCGACAGGCCATTTGCTACGGCCACGCATGCGCACAAGCACGCGACAGTGTGTGTGTGTGTGTGTGTGTGTGTGTGTGTGTGTGTGTGTGTGTGTGTGTGTG